GAAAGTGAAAGCGGCATTTATCTTCCGAGCTCTACTCTTCAAAAATTACATTTTTGACCACTCTCTTTTTTTTTTTAATAGTTAAACTCTCACTTTTAAAAATCCATCTCCTTGCTATTCCAGCAAATCCTTCAAGTTCTCTTTATTCCCAAAATTAGTTTTCCGTTGTTTCGAATTCTTTGGAACTCTCCTCTTCCAATCGCCTTCCAATCTTTTCCATCCTTTCCAATCGTCATCTATTAAATTAGTTTTGTTTTTAAGGTTGCAATATTTACAGTTGATTTTCATATATTTAAAAATAAACATCTACTTTTAACTTTTAACTAATAACTACTTTTTATACTTTANGAAATTATTCAAACAACCCTAAGCTTAATAAAGTCACATAAATAAATTTGTTATCTACAGTATCCGTTTTCGCTCCGCCCCCTCGTAAATCGACACGAGCGCCGTTTCCGAGATTTTCAGGTGTCACTTTTTTTAATCCGACAATATTAATGTATCAAAATAAATATTTTCTGTCAAATGAGCATCGGTGGGAGCATTACAAAAATATAATGCTGAAAAATTATGATTGTACTTAGAGAGGCTTGAAAAAATGCTGTCCAGAATTTTTGAAATGTGGCAAAAAGCCTTTTGCATTCAGGAATCGATCAGAAAACTATTACCTTTTTGGTAACCCTTTTCATTTTTTTTTATTATTTTCCTCTACAGTAACCCCTTTGATTTTGAATATTTTTATCTACAGTAATCTTTTCCATTTTCCAATTTTTTCCCTTACAGTTATCCTTTTTCATTTTCGATTATGTTTTCCTACAGTAACGTTACTATAGTAACCCCTTTAATTTCCGAATATTTTTCATTACAGTAATCCTTTTCATTTTGGGGGTACGACGAATTCGAACGCTTCCAAAATCGAACAGACTTAAAATCGAACATGTGTCAAAACAGAACAAGAGCAGAATCGAACTGTGCGAAATTCGAACTGTGTCGGAGTCGAACTGTCCCTAATTGGAACGCTGTTAGCCATGGGGCGCGCTTGCATTTTTCCTTGAATTAGTGACTTTTTTCTTCAGAAAACTTAAAAATATTTGCGGGGAAAAAATGAGAAAGAGACCCCGCAAATTCCGGGGAAAAAAAATCGGGGAAAAAAAACCGGGGAAAGTGGGCGGAGTCGGGGGCGGAGCCTAAAATGCAACCCTGGCACGGTTTTGCCGCACGGTTTTTTTCGACTCCGCCCACTTTCCCCGGTTTTTTTTCCCCGATTTTTTTTCCCCGGAATTTGCGGGGTCTCAATGAGAAAACAAAAATAATGCAAGCGCGCCCCATGGCTAACAGCGTTCCAATTAGGGACAGTTCGACTCCGACACAGTTCGAATTTCGCACAATTCGATTCTGCTCTTGTTCTGTTTTGACACATGTTCGATTTTAGGTCTGTTCGATTTTGGAAGCTTTCGAATTCGTCGTACCCCCATTCGAATGTTTATCCCTCAATACAGTAATCCTTCAGATGTATTTTAAAAGTCTTTGAGCATCGCCGCACACCGTAATACCGTAATATCCAAACCGAGAGCACATCAACTGGGAGGAAAAGAAAAAGTGGGAAGAACCCTCTGCAAGGAAAACTGGGCGGAGTCGGGGGCGAAGCCTAATTTGCAACCCTGGCACGGTTTTGCAGCGCGGGTTTTTTCATGACCAGGTAGTAAATGGTAAAAATATACCATGCGGCAAAACCGGGCCAGGAATACATCAACGATTGATTGTTCCAGAGGTTTCGCATTCTCTTCAAACTGATTTCTTTCCTGATTTGGTTTTCCAGAAACAACCTTTCTTTCCAAATTACTAATTTGAGATTTCATTGAAGAGACCTAATCCATATATGAAGTGAAATTATAAATACAGAACTTGTATGTTCTCGAACTTACCGTTTCTATAACTTGATTGTTCTGATTGGATATAGTTTGTAATCTGTAGAAAATCATAACCAAAGATATGACGAAGAAAGTTTCTAGAATCATATATTGACGGATTCGATTATTGAACCAATGATACCTGGAAGACATTTATAAAGATTCAATCTTTTGAAATTTCAAACTCCTACCATAGTTTTGTTTTTGTGTCACAGCTGTCATTTGTAACCATTTTTTATTTTGAAGTCTACAGAAGACGAAACATAGAAATTATTGGATATTCAAACTATGAGGTGAAGGAGTCCCTTCAGATTCCGTTTGTTGTCTGTGTTCTCCAGATGGACCTCGTTCAATATCCGAGGGTGTACTATTGATTTGAAATTTGAATCTCTATTGATTCTCTTTTTTGTTTCCAGCATATACTGTATACTTTGGAATTTGTATCGAATCGAAGTTCTATGTGTTTTGTTTTCGTTTTTCCCTACAGTAATCCTCTTCATTTTCCAATATTTTTCTACAGTAATCCTTTTCATTTGTAATATTTTCCCTACTGTAATCTTTTTGATTTTCGAACATTTTCCCTACAGTAATTCTTTTCATTTTCTTATTATTTCTCCCAAAGTGATCCTTTTTGATTTCAAATATTTTTCTCTACAGTATTCTTTTTCAGTTTCTAATATTTTTTCTATACCCAGACGAGTTGAGAACTCCCGCCGGCGAGAACAAGCCAAAAAAGTCCTGCCGGCGAGAAAAAATCAGTTGACGAAAATCAGAAAATCTCCTGCCGCGTGTACGCCGCAGGACTTTTTTGGGTTTTCCTCGCCGGCAGGAGTTCTAATCTCGTCTGAGTATACAGTAATCTTTTTCACATTCGAATTTTTTTTGAAATAGTAAATTCAAAACCCCCCTCCCCCCAAAAATTGGTTTTTCCAATCCCTCAAAATCATTGTCCCACTTTTGAAATATGCACAATTCAGGTCATTCCGTCTCATTCTCTAGGAATTTCCGTCTGGAAGATTTTGAATAATGGTCGCGAAAAAAGTGTAAGCTCATAAAAGTCATCAAACTGTTATCTGAAAATTGAGCAAAGTAGAAGTGATTATGAGATCTTTATAACAAAATAGAGATCTACATAAATGTTTTTATAGTTAGAAAAAATTATTCGAGCTACATCCAACTAGGCCACCTGATACAAATCTAACATAAAAAAATAAACACGTGGTCTAAAAATGGAGATTCCAAGCAAGTCCTGCTCAGCTGGATGTATGACAGCGGCTACAGCTGCACTATTCCTGGGTATACGGTCTATTTGAAGGAAAAGAATGGCTAATAAAGAGAAGTGAGTTGGGAGCGATTTGATTCTTCAAGAAAGTTCTGGAACGTTTTCAGACTTCCCGAAGAAGACATTAACCTTCCATACTATCATGGAGCTCTTATGAATCAAGACGCGGATCAACTACTTGTGGTATCTTCTTGTTCGACTTCTCTAGCTAGTTTTTCATCGCATTTTCAGAACGATGGTGACTACATGATTGTAATGAAAATGAATCCGGAAATCAACAAAATGCAACTTTTTCTGGCAGTTTGTCTCAAAAAAGGCATTCGTCGTTTTGAGATCAAACGAACTCCGACCACTGCGAAATTTGCTGTAATAGCGGAATTCCCAGAAATTCTGAAAACTAAAAAAATTTCAGAATAAAAGTGCTCCGAATATTGGAAAATTAGTTGACTCGTTGAAAAGTGATATTGTGGATGTGAAAGGGGAAAGGGTGATTCTGAAGCGAGCGATTCCGAAGGGCAAGTTTCAACTGATGCATAAGGATGTTGATTTCAAAAAGAAGGTTTTCGAAAATTGAGAAAAATTAAGTTTTATTAAAACTTATTCAGCTCGGAAGTGGTGCTTATGGTACCGTTTACCGTGGTCGTCTTACCAAGTCTAACCAGAAAATCGCGGTGAAAAAATTGGATACAGAAGGAAACGACGAAGAAATGTTAGCTGAAATGATGAAGGAGGCAAGAGTAATGCAGTTGTACGATCATCCGAATATTGTAAAATTCTACGGATACATTCTGGACGATATTCCATACTTGTTAGTTTTGGAGTACTGTAATGGTGGATCGGTAGAGGATAGACTTGTTGAAAGAGGAGCCAAATTGACTACGCAGACAAGAATCACTTATACGTATCATGCTGCATGTGGAATTGACTATTTGCATAAGAAGAAGTGGGAAATTAAGAAACGATTCTTAATTGTCTGAAAATTGTTTTTCCAGGTGTATCCATCGTGACATTGCTGCAAGAAACTGCTTGATTCACAAAGAAATCGTCAAAATCGCCGATTTTGGAATGTGTCGAAACACCTCGGTTTACAAAGTGGATCTGAACAAACCCACAAATATCCGCTGGCTGGCTCCAGAAGTTTGGGAGATTGGAGAAACAAGAGCTAATACAGATATTTATGCGTTCGCTGTTATGATGTGGGAGTTCTTTGAGATTCCTTACGATACGCCGTACAGCGCATGGAAGGGATACGTTGTCAAGGTTTTTTGTGAATCTCTTCCAGAAAAATTGACATGTTTTTCAGCAAAAGACACGCGGCGGCTACCGTCTTCCAACTCCGAAAGGCATGCCACCAGAGATGGAGAAAATAATGCAAGAATGTTGGCATGTGGATCCGAGTCAGCGTCCAACGGCAACCGAATTAAAGGAAAAACTAGAAGAAGCGATTGCTAAAGGAGAGAGCTCAGCCACGACCGGACTGGAGAAGAGCAAAAGCCAGACAAGCACGAAACAGCAGAACTGATTTTTTTACCTGAAATGCATTTTTCTCAAACAGTTTACCGGGTTTAAACAATCGACAAGTATAAATACAGTTTATTAAAAACAACATGTGGATTTTCATATTTGTGGCCCTAAAGAGGGCCGTTGGGTTCGGTGGGGTAATTTTCAGCTCGATAGCTTACTTGCTGGATGTGTACTTGGTCACAGCCTTGGTTCCCTCAGAAACGGCGTGCTTGGCCAACTCTCCTGGAAGGATCAAACGGACGGCCGTTTGGATTTCGCGGGAAGAGATGGTCGAACGCTTGTTGTAGTGGGCAAGACGAGAAGCTTCAGCAGCGATGCGTTCGAAGACGTCATTGACGAAGGAGTTCATGATGGACATGGCCTTCGAGGATACTCCGGTATCTGGGTGAACCTGCTTGAGGACACGGTAGATGTAGACAGAGTACGACTCCTTGCGATGGGCTTTTCTCTTCTTTCCGTCCTTTGGCTTGGTGACGGTCTTGGCGGCTTTCTTCGCTCCCTTGGCTGACGGCTTTGGTGGGGCCATTTCGGTAGATTTGGCTGGTCGTTTGACAAGTGTGAGGCACACTTCATTTCAATTTCTATTTATGTGCGACGCGCGGTGAGGAGGCGGAGTCCACCACCCTGTGGGGACACATAACCACTTTGCCTGACTATCTAGCCCCGCCTACCCACCGCAGCAGAAAAATTTAAACGCGCCGAATTTTTTATTTTTTCAGATAGTTCTTCAACTACCAACAACTGATCATCGCCATGTCCGGAAGAGGAAAGGGAGGAAAAGCCAAGACCGGTGGAAAGGCCAAGTCTCGCTCGTCGAGAGCCGGACTTCAATTCCCAGTCGGTCGTCTTCACCGTATTCTCCGCAAAGGAAACTACGCTCAACGCGTCGGAGCTGGAGCCCCAGTCTACTTGGCCGCCGTTCTTGAGTACCTCGCTGCTGAAGTTCTCGAGTTGGCTGGAAACGCTGCCCGTGACAACAAGAAGACCCGTATCGCCCCAAGACATCTACAACTCGCCGTCCGTAACGACGAAGAGCTCAACAAGCTGTTGGCTGGAGTGACCATCGCTCAAGGAGGAGTTCTTCCAAACATCCAAGCTGTTCTTCTCCCAAAGAAGACTGGAGGAGATAAGGAATAAGAACTTCTTCCAACAAACCCACCGAACCCAACGGCCCTCTTTAGGGCCACAAATCTGAAATCCAATTTGTCTTATCGCTCAATAAAGTCTTATCGCTCAAAAATTGTTTTTTGTACAGGTTTTACGGTAAATTTCGACCCAGAATATTTCTGAATCCTTTCTTGGCAAATTAGAGCTTTTCGCTTCGGTATGTCAAAGGCGCACAGGAAAAGTTCCCTTGCGAGTCTCGAACGGAATTATTTTTGCGTTTTCGAATTCTGTCTGTCAATTTTCGAGCTTTTGTTATGAGAAATTTTGAAGGCATTATGGTATCTCATTTTGAACTAGTCCGCCTGTTCGAACAGTTCCGCCAAAACATTTCTCTGTTTTTATTTTGAAAAAAAAACGGAGAATCCCGGCTTAAACTACCGTATTCGAAGAACCTCCACATCTAACCAATGGTGCTTTCAAAAATTCATTTGTTTAATGATTGTGCCTTCTCGCAAGCCGAATTTCAACGCTTTCTGATTCGAGAATATCAGATTTTTAAAGTTAAACTTTCAGAAACTTTCCTTCGACTTGCGCTTCACCAGCTCTTATTGCCGTCTCCGTTTAATCTTTCCAACCTTTTTTCCCCTAAGAATCTGGAAAAAAACTGAATTTGCAATGTCGGAAGAAAATACTTTTAAGGACAGCATCACTGTCTAGCGATTTGTTGTGTTTATTTACATCGAATGAATCCTTGCTCTATTTTTGTTTTGCCTGCTTCTCTAAACCTCTTTCCCCTTTTTTCTTCTTCTTCAAATCTTCGCGTTTTTTTCAGAACTTCCACATTATCAAACGATGAAAGAAGGTTGTTCAGAATTTTCGTGACTTCAGAAAATATAAATTAAAATTTTTAGAATACAGTCATCTAGACATCAACGATCAGATCAAGAGTTTACGAGAGTTATTGAATAAGGAAGCTGAAGAGGTGCTCTTAACAGATAGTCAGCTGGAAGAAGTATCAAGATTTGTAAGTCTAACCTCCGTTTTCTCGCACTTCATTATCTATATTTCCGATCAATTTCACTAAGAAGAAAGCGGAAGAAGTTCGCAGAGCTCGAGAAGAACAGACTGAGAGAGAGAAACAACTAGCCAAAGTAGCGGAACGGGCTGAAGCTGAAAGAAAACGAGAAGCTGAAAAAGAAAGACGAGCAGAAGAAGAGAAAGCTAGAGTAGCGGAAGAAAGTTATCAGGATATCGAGGAAGAACGATTTCTGCTAGATTCGAGAGTAAGTCCGAGTTCTGTATCTGCTGAAATCCCGTTAATCATTGATTCTCTTCAGAACGGCTCAACTGAAGATCCCACAGCTATAGAGATGGAGAAATTGAATATTGCCAATAACGAGCAATTGGATTTGAGTCAAAACGAATCACTGCCAGTAGTTTCGAACGAAACTTCCGTCGACTTTGTTTCATTTATTCAAGAAAATGGAGCTTGTGAGTGTATGTGGTAGGAACGTGTTTGACAGTAGTATTCTTGCAGATTTGATGCTTCAAAAACAAAAGTGGCCTCAGAGACTACACCATGATTTGAAAAATGAAGGCGTGAGGTATCCGCTCGGAGTCGCATATGACGAAAAAGCCAAGCGTTGGCTGATTTGTGATCGCAATACTGAGAAGATTTTGCTTATTGATGTCAAGATGGAAAGTATGAATGTCTGTGACGATATCAGTTGTCCAACTGCAATTATTGTTTATGAAGAAGGAAAAAGCGCAGCCGTTTTATGTGCAGTTGGAAAAAGTCATACAATTTACATATACCACCACAGCGAACCTAATCCTTTCATACAAGCGTTTGCTCGACACGACGAACCGATGTACGACATGCGCCACCAGCTGAGAGGACTTGCGAAGTCAGTCGGAGGAAACATTCTTTCATTAGAAAAACATAATCAAAACCGAATGCGGGTGTTCAACAAAGGCATGGGTGGAAAAGGATTCTCCATGGCTGGAACAAATACACCATGTTTCATCGCATCATTCCGATCTACCGTGGCTGTGTCAGATCTAGGTGTGAATAAGGTGTTCATTTGCAATTTGGACGACAGAGACTGGGAATCGATTTCATTCCAAATGTTAAGAGTGATCGAAACTACAGTAAGAATTAAAGTTTATTCATAAAACATCTGATCCATTTTCAGGTCGTCTTGCCGCCTGATCAACTTGCCAATCAGTCAGGATTTCAATTTGTAGCCGGAATGCAGTTTGACTGCAACGGATTCCTTCTCATTGGTGATGCGAAAGGGCATTCGATTAAGGTATTGTTAGATTTGAAGTCAGTGAAAGTTTAAATATCGAACTTCAGCTCTATGACACTGATTACAATTTCCTGCACAGAGTGTCGAGTGATTTCGTTCTCCCATACGTTTCGTCATTCCATGTGAACAAAGACGGAGATTGTATTCTCCTCGACGTAAAACAGCGTGACGCCATTCAGTGGGTAAAGATGTCATCAGTGCCGAACGTTCGGCATTGGGTGGCTCCAACCACCCAATGCCCATCCTCAAGCCGCCAAGATTTTCAACAGAGGCCACGCCGTGGCGGTTTCCAGTCTAGAAGATTTTAAGCTTCTTCCTGCTTTACTGACTTTTGTTTTTATTAAAATTTCGCATATCCAACCCACTTTTACGAGTTTACGATTTTTACGAGTGTCACCTTTGTTTCTCTTTACTTTTACTACGGTCTCAACACCCAAGATTTATACATTGGCATTTGCTATTATTATCCTTGTCAGAGAAAAAAAAGGTTGAGTCGAAGTGTATGCGATGTTTGTAAACAAATATCTGAAAGCGTAAATAACCGGAAACAGTTGAAACGAGTGCGACAGTAACCCGTCGGGAAAATATTAAATTTACTCATTTTTTAGCTTTTCGCATATTTTGCAGCAAATTTCGTCTAATATTTTTTAAAATACCGCAAAAAACAATGAAAAACAAACCATATTCGACGAAATTTGCTGCAAAATATTGTCTATTCAATAAAACGTGGGCACGCCGCAGGTTGCAAAGTAACACGCCCCTTTTTGGAACGCGTGCCCTTTTCCCTCTT